TGGGGCCCGCCCGGCCCGACCCGGGGCACCCGGGCTCGAGCTGAGGCGCCCAAGCAGCCGTCGAAGTCACCCTGGTTAAACCAGACCTTCGTCTTCCCATAGTTTCTGGGCTTCTGTCTTCCCCCCAGTGCCCCCATTTTCCCCCATTTTCTCTGGGGGATCGACGATGACTTGTGTCTGTGTGTGTGTGTGTGTGTGTGTGTGTGTGTGTGTGTGTGTGTGTCTTCTCCTCCTGAAGGGACGCCGTCGAAGCCCAGAAGCCGTCGAAGACCAGCGCCGTTCCCAGAAAAACGCAAACCAGACCTTCTCGCTGTTCCCAGAAATATTATTCCGGCGAAGGAGGGAGGAGAGGGAGGAGGAGGGAGGAGGAGAAGGAGGAGAGGAGGAGGAGAAGGACGCGGGGCACCGTCTCTTCAAAACGAGGACCCAACACCACAGGATGGTTGGGAAAAACGCAAACCCGGTTAAACCCCCATCTCGTTGTTCACGGATTCTTTGGATCGGCGTTGGGCCCCCCAGGCGGCGCCTCCGGCTCCGCCCCTGGCGCGCTCTGCGCGCCACGGGGGGGAGTTCCGCGCCGACCCAAGGACGCCACGCGGACCTTCGAGAGCTTTTTATGTCTACGTACACCAGATTTCGTAACAAAAGGGAGGGGGTCTCGTTTCGGGGGGGGTCTCTTCCAGGCTATCTTGGAGGGCCTGGGGGGGTCTGGGGACGAGGTTTTGGAGGGTTCTCCCACGGGGGAGGTCCGAAATGGCTCGTCTTGGAGGGTCCAGACCCCCTCCCTTTTATTACGAAATCTGGAGTACACATGTTTGTTCTTCTGCAAGGGCTCCCTCGAGGGCGCGAAGTTATTCGCGCTTCGCGGTCTTCGTTCCTTCTCCCCCTCCTCCTCGTCCTCCTATTCTCCCTTTGGGAGGGCGGCGCGAGAGCGCGAAGTTATTCGCGCTTCGCGCAGCGCGAAGCGCGAAGTTGGGAGCCCTAGTTCTGGAGGCCGCATTCGTGGCGGCGGCGCTGACCAGCAGCACTCCCGCGCCAGCCCTATCCGAGAGGCTCCGCCAGCAGACTCCCGAGGCCTCCGAGGCGGAGCTCGGCGGCGCTGCCCGGGGGGGGAAGAGGCACTGGGGGAGGGCCCTAGCTCGGGAGCGGCAAAGAGGGGGGTGATGACTCCTGCTCCTCCTCCTCCTCCTCCTCCTCCTCCCCTCCTCCTCCTCCTCCTCCTCCCTCCTCCTCCTCCTCCTCCTCCCTCCTCCTCCTCCTCCTCCTCCTCCTCCTCCTCCTCCTCCTCCTCGGTCCTCACGGAGTCAGGGGTCTGTCTCTGGCACTCGGAGGAAAGGGCAGCCCCGGTCCGAGGCTGTCAGACTGTCAGATTGGATCGGGCCCTCCTCCTCCTCCTGCTCCTCGTCCTCCTCCTCCTCCTCCTGCTGTCCTCTTCCTCCTCCCTCCTGGTTCCTCCCTCTGGTCCGCTGGACCTCCCCCGGGACCCTCTGCCTCGGGCACTCGGAGGAAAGGGCAGCCCCGGTCCGAGGCGGGCTTTTATCCACAGCCACCGCCTGTCGGGGGCGGAAAAGAGGGGGGTGATGACTAGGGGGGGGTGGATATCATGGCGGGGGCCATGATATTTCCCCAGATTTCATGGCGCCTCTTCTTATTCCATTGCGTCCCTGGCCCCCCCGCTGGGCCGCGCACATGCCGCCGGTCATGATTTGCACCCCCCCCTCTTGGACACCCCCCTCTTTGCCGCTCCCGACTATCCGGCCTTCGCAGTTCACGTGTTCCTATTGGGTGTCGCAGCACACCCTGATTCCGGCGGCGCGCCCAGGGGGTGAAGGCAAAGGGCGCTGGGCTTCTCCTAGGCTCAGACGGCCTCCGGCCTTCCAAGAAGCTTCCTGAGCCTCCTCCGAAACAGAGGGCCTCTCAGAAGGCCGGAGGGACAGAGGGCCTCCCAGAAGGCCGGAGGGTTTCTGAGAGGCTCCGCCGCCTCCTGAGAAGGCCTGCCCCCTCTCACTTCCCCCCTCGGCGCGCCGCCTATTTGAGGCCAAGCACAGGGGTCAGGACTGCAAAACAGCGAGGGTGAGGCGCAGAGGCAGGAGGAGCCAGCGCAGCGTGCCGAGGTCGTGGGGCTTCCCTTGAGTCTTTGTCGTGTCCCCCAGAGAGCGGTGCCTCGGCGGTCCAGTCCCAGGGCTGGATGCGGCAGGCTCGCGTCGCGTCCACGCGGCGGCGACCCCGCAGCGGGCGTTCAAGGTTGAACGCCACCGGTTGCCCAGGTTCGGCCAGTGGGGAAGGACATGGCGATCGAAGAGCCGCCGATCCTTCAAGGTCGAAGGATCCACGCGGTGTTAGCCCCGTGTGCAAGCCCCCCATCTGTGCTCGGGCCCACCCAGGCGCGCTCTCTCATACATCTGGGCTCTGGCTTGGGGGCCCCCAGTGGTGAATCAGTGGGGACTCGGGGTGACCGCGCGGTTTCGGGACTTGGGTCGTTCTCCGAGGATGTTTCGGGCGATCGGAGCCTCCAAGGTCCCGCAACCGTGTGGTGACGGACTGTGCGGAGGGGTGTTTCAGAAGTTCGAGGTCACCGCACGATTTGTCCCCGCATCGGTTTGGGACGCCCAGCGGGGGGAGACGATCGTGCGGTTTCCTTCCCAGCTCGCTGTTTCTGGTCTGCGGCCGATTCCGCCAGGGTGGCCACGGCCAGGTCCAGAACAGAAAAAGCAGCCGATCGACGACGGGACGTTTCTCGGGATGAGAGTCACGCTCGGCACGGAGAGGCGGAGGAGGGAGAGGATGCGACGGGTTTCGAGGGTTGGGCGGCTTTGGACGGCTTCCGATGCAGTGCGCGTGTCTCAGCTCGGTTCTCACGGGGCCGCCTCGCCTGGCCGGGGCTCGTGGTGCTGCACTGTCTGCCGCCGGCGCCAACGCTTCCGCGCTCGCGGCGAGCTTCCTTTTGGGGCAGGAGGGGTGGCCGGGCGGAAAGGGGAGAGAAAGGCGTGAAGTGAGAGGGGGAGGTGTTGGAATGGAGGCGACGAGAACGGTAACGAAGGGAGGGATGGGGGATGGACAGCGGCGCAATGGCACGAGGAGTGGGAGGAGGAGGGCGAGGAGGAGGAGGAGGACGCCGTCGTCGGCTTCCCTGGCGTGCTGATGGTGATGATCTGTTCTCGTGTGAGTTTGTTCGGATTCACCTGCTCTCTTGCTTCTGCACGCGAGCGTCTCGCGGACCCCCCTTTCCCCCTTCCGCCGTCAGATGCGGACTCCGCCTTTCAGGTTGTGCGCTGGGCCGTCTGGATGGGTCATCCTACGCACATGGACGCTGTCGTTGTGGTGCATGTGGCAAGACATGCTCGTATGGAGTCATTATGGAGTCATGATCAGTTGATTTAGTCATCCCCTCGGGCCCACTCCTGACCCACAGCTTCGTCGCAGCTGTTGTGGTTTGGTTCCAGAAAAAGATCGCGGCCTGCCCGCCTGGCACGCGCTCGCCCTCCCGGGCGCCCTCCCCCGGCCGGCCGGCCCCCTCATGTGTTGTTGCTAGCCAAAGCTTAACGGACACCATCATACTCGTTTAGCTATGGGAGGGATGCATCACCTACGTTGAAGATAAACCTGAGCAAGAGACTACTACGGGAAGGAGATGAAGGAAAACAAGTGCGAGGCGATCGTGAACATTTTGCCGAGCAACATGGCCAATAAACAGCCCATGGCAGCAATGAGTTGGCAAAATACTGGCTAGCAGCCGAAAGTTCTATCTTCGACGAAATTGATTCTGCCAGATGAGAAGATAAGAGAATTATATTCCAACCACCCAACAGTGCTGTACGTCCTAGAGCAGAATCACGCCATGGAATGAGCGTGGAAGTTCCAGGTCAAGGCTTTGCCGATTATGTCGGGGAATCGAGCCGATGTCCTCCCGTCAGAATCAGCTGGAATATATTATTCGACGCTGGGCCTCGTCCTAGTGCTCCGAAGATCAAGGGCATCGCGCGACCCGACCGAGAAGGCGAAGACGAAGACAACCTCATGCCACGTGAGGACCAACCTGATGTACCCATTCACCTCTCGGACACCGACCACGACGTGGAGCTGATTTTATCGGGGGAACATGTTTCTCGCAGGTCAACGCCAAAGCCCGTCGGCCATCATGGTGATCACTGGCCACATTACGGGGAAGGCGAAGTCTATGACCGAACTTCTCTTGTTCCATTGGGCGACCTCCAACAACCCCCTGCGCAGGCACCGCCCGCGCGCGGCGGGGATGCCGCGATCCCATCAGATGATTCTTTGGAACGGAATTTGGAGGAGATCGTCGATGAGGAGTTCGTGGGCAGTCCCATAAGGACGACCAGCAAGCAGAGACCTAAGCCTATTAGTCTTTCAATGACCTCACAACTCGGGAAGCGAAGTAGACCCAGTGACGTCCCGGAGCACGACCCTAGGTTCGCTCCGGGGGGGGCGCCCGGGAGCACTGTTCCCGGGCCCCCACCGCGGACCCCGACGTTTGGGACGCCCGACTTACGCACTCGCTCTGCCCGCAAGAGAAGCTCAGAGAGCGATCAAACTTGCGCGAGCTCTGCCCCCAAGACCGCGATCCGAAGTATCTGATTTGTCCTACTTGTCGGGCAAGTCGAGCGCCCCCAGTGTGCGCGTCAACGCCAAGTGTGCCAACCGTGGACCGAAGTGCTCCGCGGTGCCAGAACCGCGGTGCCCTGGCTTATCGGGCCAGTGCAAGAAGCCCGTCTGTTTCGGGTGCTCTGACATTTGCGGCCTCTGTAACCTTAATTTCCAATGCCCGACGCGCGCCGCCCCTGGCTTGCGCGACTGCACTGGGTGGCGCGTGAATGAATGACGCGAAGTGGAGGAAAGGAAGAGGTTTAAGACTATGGAGATATGGGAGAGAGATCATGCTAAAATGCGCGAGCAACTCAGGCTGTCGGAGGCGCGACAACAAGCGGTTGTCGCCCTGCAGTTGGAGCGAGACCGGGGGGCCACGGCAAAAGCCGCGCGCTGTCTGGAGGGGCCCCAGCAGGCGGCGGCGGCTCAACAGGCCTCCGCGGCGACAGAGGAAATGAGAGAGCTCGCCAACAGGTTGGAGACAGCCGTTGCCTGCGAGCGCCGAGCATGCCTCCGGGAGAAGCACCTCGCAGAGGAGGCGGGGTGCGCTGCCCGGGGGCCGGCGAAGCTCAACGGGCGACTATGTCGCAAGCTGCGAAGTGCAAGCAGCAGAGAATCGGAACGCACGGCTAGCCGCAGAGGCTGCCGCTGCGTTTAGGCAAGCCGATGCGAACCGAATCGTCGCGGATGAGAACTACGCTCGTTCCGGGGCCGAGATTCTACATGCCCGCGAGGAGATGCGACGAGTTGAGATGACCGCCGAGGAGAAAATTGAAGCGAGCACCCGCGCTGCCGAACTGGAGGCCCCGCAGGCGATGAAGAGTCGGCAAGCCGAGCGTGGCGGTTTGTATCGCAAGCTGGATCAGCACCAGATACTGCGGCACCCGATCGGAACACACGCGGCAACATCTTCAGGCATTGGGTCGACGGCCCAAGTGAGTGCGGCGGCGGCGTCTACAGCGCCTCCGTCGGCGCCGACCGCGGTTGGGCGACCAATTCGGGCCGGAATCCCCCCGCGGGAGCTCCGCGGTGTCATTCGTTCTCGAACGTAGCTACTCGCGACTGCCCCTTGTGCGAGAAAGGCGTTCGGCCACTTTGCACTGGGCGGCGAGATGCGCGCGCTGCTACGGGGAGGATTCAGCAGTAGGAAAGACGAAGCTAAGGAAGCATTCCAGGAGACAGAAAGCGAGGAACGCCAGGCAAGAAATAAACTTGAGGAACAGAGCGCCGCAGCGTCTATGCCGAGAGAGGTTTATCGAGATCGATTGTTTCGGCCTGCGCGCGCCTAGGGCTATGCCTCGGGCAGCGACGGTCGCCCGGCTGAGAGCGTCGGATCGAAGAGGCTATTTGAGTTCGAGGAAGCTGCGAGGGCCGAAAAGGAGAGACTCAAGGAAAAGCCCGAACAGGCTATGCAGCGCGAAGGGGAAAACGCCCGGATGCTCGCTTAGCGCAGGGTAGAAACCCAAGGAATGCGCGAGGAAAGGGCCGCGGCGGCTGCCGCCCTGGCGAATGCCAGCACGGGGGCAGCTCGCCCCAGCGCGGCGACCTCTTTCCCAGGATGCGCGCCTCCAGCTTCGTGGAGTTTGCCGAGCATCTTCAGACAGAAAGATGAGAAAAATGACGCGACCCCCCCCATGGAAGGCACCAGCGCCGAAGCCCCCAGGCTCAGGCCCTCCCGGCGGCGACGGCGGAGATGGCAACGGCGATGATGGCGAGGGCGATGGCGACTTCTACCTTGAAGACGACGGGGGCCAAACGCCCGACGGCGAAGAAGACGGCAATCCAAATCACCGGCGCCAGCGTGGCGGAGGGCCGCCCGGAGGTGGCCCGCCGGGAGGCGGCGGCGGCGGCGATGGCCTTCCATTCCCGCTGGTGGATTTCGCCCCAGCCGCCGCGCAATATAGGGACGACGCGGGCAAGGCGGAAAAGATAGTCTTAAAAGCGACACCCGACGCTGCCAACTACCAGCGCTGGCGTCGCAATGCTGCCAGGACGGCGGCGTCGGCATCGCCGAATTGCGAGGAAGCTGTCCGTTTGGTCGCGGACGCTTTTGATTTTCAAATCGTATATGCGAAGGAGTCGAGGGACTCTTCCCATTTCGTCGGGCTCGACCTGATGATCGCAGCTGACCTCGCGCCAAAGGTCAGCCATATAGTGAAAGTCCGACAGCCATCATCACAGCTACGTCATCTTCCGATTGAGATCGAAAGACTGGACATCTTCGCCGACCGCCAGAATCATGGCGAAAGGTCGTGAATTTTCGCGCACCATTGCCGTGCGCATGACCGCCCGCCAGGATCATGGTCACGTCTCGAGCAGTAGTCTCGAGCAGTGGTCCCGAGCAGGCGCGTCGACGCGTCGATTTTTTGTTTTATCGAGCGCGTCCTGGATTTTGGGCGGTCCCGTTTTCGTGGGACGTTTGCAGCGGGAGCTCGCGCCAAGTTTCAAGTTTCAGATTGGGTCCCGTCGTTGTCATGATGGCCCCGCGAGGTCAACCCGAGTCCCCCGAATCCGTGTCTCACGTTTCCCCGAACCTTAGTTCCGGCGCATTGGACACACAATTCGGTCCAGCTTCGGCGGTTTTGGCGTTCTCCCGCCGCCCTTGCAGCGGCGCCATCCGAGCTCGTCGTTGCAAGCAGAATTTGTAGAACTTTGCTTGTCTTTGGCGCGACCACCTTCCGACCTTTTCAAAGGCGCTGTCTTATCTTATCCGCCTTTTCTGCGCCCTCGCCCTCCAGCGCCGCCTCCTCCTCCTCCTCCTCCTCCTCCTCGTCCTCCTCCTCCTCCTCCTCCTCCTCCTCCTCCTCCTCTTCTTGACCGTCTCTGGGCCTTGGGCCTGGAAGGAACGGCTAGCTTGCCCTTTCTCGTCGGCCGCCCCCTGGCCCGTCGGGGATGCTGCCCCCCCCCTCCAGGCGAGCTGGTTGGCCAGCGCCCCAGGCGCCGGGGCGCCTCCGGCGATCCTGGCGGCGGCGCTGCTCGGCGGCGGCGCGGGCCACGGGGCATCGGACGCCACGGCCAGGCTGGCGGCGGCGCTGGTCGCCCGCGAGGGGCCAAGTCGGGGGCACCGCAGTGGGCGGGGCAGGGTCGGGGAAAAGAGGGGGGCGGGAGCGCGTTTCCAAGTTCTCAAAGTCACCGATGCATGTTCCGTTTGCTCCACGGGGGGGCGGGAGCGTATTTTTAAGTTCTCATAGTCACCGATGCATGTTCTGTTTGCTCCACGGAGTGGTGATGGGCGTGCTCTTCCTCTTTTCCTCCCGTGGCGGTGGAGGCGTGCGAGGGGGAGCTGGCGAGTCACATGCAGGGTACGGGACCTGGGAAGGTCCCACCACTACAACAGTTACAACAGTGTGACGTTGATTCAGCTGTGTGTCCCACCACTACAACAGTTACAACAGTGTGACGTTGATTCAGCTGCGATCGAAGGTGGGGACTCGGGTAAATCCTCCTCTCCTCTGGGCGTGCGGTTTGCGTGCGTTCGGGAAATTTGGGGGCGTCGTCTACGGTGGGACTAGAGGGCTAAACCGTGGAGATTGGTGTGTGTGTGTGTATACATATATATATATATATATATATATATGCTGGGCTACAGGGCCGGGGGCTCCCTGTCCAGGACCGCAACCCCCCATGGGGGGATCGGGCCTCCGGGAGCGCCCTTGTCCGGCCCAAGAGTGCCCCAAGAGCTCTCCGCGACAGGCCCAGCAGGCTCCAAGAGGCCCATGAGGGCGCCAAGAGGGCCCCAAGATAAGCCCAAGATAAGCCCAAGATAAGCCCAAGATAAGCCCAAGACGGCCAAAGAGGCTCCCAAGACGCTCCAAGAGGCTTCCAAGAGGCCCCCCCAGAGAGCCCCCAGAGGCCAAAATCGTGCAGTTTACCAAGGTTTTGGACACATGTTGCTTTTCCTGCCTTTTCAGCTTTCCGACGCTCCACGACGGCTCACAGGCCTCCCGCAGACGCCCCAAGACAGCCCAAGAGGCCTCCAAGAGGGCCTCAAGACGGCTCTGGAGGGCCCCAAGACGGCCCAAGACGCGCCCAAGACGGGCGAAGAGAGGACCAAGACGGCCCCAAGAGGGCTCCAGGAGGGGGGCCGCGAACCGCAAATTCGAGCCTCCCGCCTCCACAGGGCCCGGGAGGCCCCAAAGGGGCGCCAAGAGGCCCCAGGAGACCCCCAGGGCGGCCCAAGAGGGCCCCAGGACGGCCCAAGAGGCGCCCAGGACGGCCCAAACGGGCCCCCAAAGGCGCCCAAGAGAAGCCCAAGATTGGGAAACCCAGCCAACAATTCTAGTTTTCCACCAAAAGAGGCGCCCGGGAGGCCCCGAGAGGCCACGAAGAAGCCAAGAAGGCCCCACGAGGACCCCCGAGAGAGCCCTGAGAGCCAAAAACTGTTTATTTTCCGTGGGTGTTCGAAGGATTTCGGTCATCTCGCCTTCTCGGGTTCCCGACGCTCGAAAACAGCCCAAGAGGCCCCCAAGATCGCCCCAAGAGGACGCCAGGACTACCCAAGAGGGCCCCAAAACGGCCCAGGAGGCGCCCAGCACGCCCAGGAGGACCCCAAAACGGCCCCGCGAGGGACTCCAGAACGGAAGCCCGAACCGACCATTCGACCTTTCTGTTCCAAGAAGCCCCGACGAAACCCGGAAGAGGCCCCCAAGACGCCACAAGAAGGCTGCAAGAGGACTCCCAACAGAGCCCCGAGATCCCAAATTCGTTGATATTCTATATGTTTTTGGAGGATTTCGCCCTTCTCGCCTTGTCGGCTTTCCCAATCTCCATGCCGGCTCGAGGGGTCACCAAGAATGCCCCGAAGCAGCCCGAGAAGCCCCCAAGAGAACCCCAATACGGCCAGGAGGGCCCCAAGACGGCCTACGAGCCGCCCAAGACGGCCCAGGAGGGCCCCAACACGGCCCCAACACGGCCCCAATATGGGGGCAGGCCCGGGGCCCACAAACAGTTGCCCCGACCCCCCATGGGAGGACGGGGCGGCTGGGAAGGTCCAAAATAGTCCAGGAGAGACTCCAGAGGCTCCCCAGACGGCCCAAGCGGGCCCCCGAGTGGCCGAAAGACCGCTCCTGGACGCCCAAGATAGGCCCAAGACGGCCCGAGAAGCCCCCCCAAGGCACTCCACGACGCTTCAAGACGCCTCTCCCGAGCGCTTCAAGAGACCACAATCGTCAATGTTACTAAGGTTTTGGAGAGATTCTGGCCTTCCAGCCTTTTCGGCTGTCCGACGTTCCAGGCCGGCTCCATAGGCCCCAAGAGCGCCCCAAGACGGCCCAAGAGGGCCCCCAGACGGCTCCAGAAGCGCCCAAGAAAGCCCCAAGACGGCCCCAAGATGCGCCCAAGAGGGGGACCACGACTCCCAAATTCGACCCTCCCGCTTGAAGAGTGCCCCAAGGAGCCCCCCAGAGGCCCCAGGAGGCCCCCGAGAGGCACCCAGGAGATCCAAGCAAGGCCTCAAGAGGCCACAAAACCGCCCCGAGGAGGTCCCACAACGGTTTCAAAATGGCTACCGAGAAGCTGCGAAACTGCCTTCACGACGTCCCCGACAGGCCAACCGAGAGATCCAAACCAACACCCATGAGGCCTCTGACCCACCACCTAGGGCACCCGCCGCCGCCCGCCTGCCGTCCGCGTAGCACGCACCACTCTGTACGCAGCTTCAGTCTCCAACAAGCTCCCGCTGCAAGAGAGCACCCTTAAGGAATTCATTCAAATCCCGACCCGCCCGCCCGCCCGCCACCCGCCCGCCCGCCCGCCCGCCGCCCGCCCGGCCGCTCGCCCGCCTTTCGCGTAGCACACGCCACCCTGCACTCAACAGCCTCCGCCTCCAAGACAACACCTAGCATTCAACAGCCCCCAGGGCTCCCGGGACTGCCCGGGCCCGCTCCCAAACACGCCACGACACGCCAAGAGGGCCCTAAAGATTGCCGAGACAGCCCCAAGAGGCCCCGGACACGCCGAAGATGGCCTCAGGACGGCCGACGACGCCGCCAAGACGCCCTAAGAGCACCTCCAGAGGCCCCTCCAAAGGGCCCCGCATTTTTGCGCTCTCGCATGTTCCGCCTCCCCACGGCCCCAGACGGCGTCAGAGGCCCTTCAGATCGCTCCAAGACGGCCGAAGAGGCTCCCCAGGAAAGACCAGAGACGGCCCAGGAGGCTCCCCAGATAAGTCAAGAGGGACTCGAGAGCGCCCCAAGAGAGCCCCAAGAGCGACCCAAGAGGGCCCGAAGAGCACGACATTTCAAGGTCTCTGGCCTGCGAGGCTCCTAGGACGCCCCCGGAGGCCATCAAGAGGCTCCCAGGCTCCCAAGAGGCCCCCCGGAAGCCCCAATAAGCCCCCAAGGGCCCCCCAGGGAAGCCCCCTGCGGGCCTCCAAGAGACCTCGGTAAATCGCATTTCCCAGAGCTTTCCGGGAACATGATTCCTTGGGCTTCCGCCCATCGCCCCAACCATGTTTCCAATAGGCTTGCCGACAAGGCCAAAAAGAGCCCCTCGGTAAGCCCCCAGAGCCCACCTTCTTAAGAGAGCCGAACAAATCATTCTCCCGGAAAGCTTCCCGGGAACATGATTCTCGGGTTGCCGCCCTCTCCCCAAACCATGTTCAGAAACGCCTGCCAGGATAAAAAACGAGAGTCCCAAGCAGTGCTACCTGCGGCCACGCTCGGAAACGCGTCAGGCCCCGAAGCCTCCGGAGGCGCCCAACGACACCCCAACAAATCATGTTCCCAGGAAGTCTTACGGCCACTGCCGCCGACGTTGAAGGAGGACGGTCCAGAACACCCAGAAATCTTCCAAACAGGCTTCCAAGAGGGCGCCGAGACAGCCCAGGGCCGCCCCCAGACGGCCCAAGAAAGCCCCAACACAGACGAAAAGGGCCGCAAGAGGCCCCAAGAGGCCCCAAAACGAGGACATATCGTTCGAATACGCCCAAGATGGCCTCCGGACAGCCCACAAGGCTTCCAACACGGCCCAAAGGGACACCAAAATCATTGATTGTTTTTGGTTTTTGATGGATTTCAGACACCCAACGTCGCCCCAACAGGCCCGCACGAGGGCGCCGAGACGGCCCAGGGACGCCCTGCCGCGGGCACGAGGCGGGGCCCGGGACGGATCCCTCGCACCGGGGGGCCCGGGGCCTTGCCGTGGCGCTGGGGGCCTTGTTAAAGTCGCCCGAAGCCGGCCCTGGCGTTTCCAGACAACGAAAACGACCAATGACCGCCCGCGATCACCCCTGAATTGGTCCCTGACTGTCCAAGAGACCTCCAAGACGCCCCAAGAGGTCTCCAAGATGGCTCCCAAGGAGCCCCAGGAGGCACAACTACTTCGTTTTCCTTTTGGTTCTTGATCGATTTTCGAGTTCTCGCCTTTTGAGCTTCCTGACGCTCCACGACGGCCCAAAAGGCTTTAATTTCCGCTCCAAGGCATCCCTAGAGGCCTCGAAGACGGTCACAAGACAGCCCACGGGGGTCCCAAGACGGCGCCAGAGGCGCGCAAGGCGGCCCGAGAGGTCCCCAAGACGGCCCAAAGATGGAGCCAAGAGGGTTGACACGAACCGAAAATCCGAGTCTTCCACCCCGAGAGGCTCTCAGGAGGCCCCGAGAAGCCCCTAACAGGCTCCAAGAGGCCCCAAGAAGCCCCCCAGGGGGCCGAAGAGTATTCAAGAGGCCTCCCACGGAGGCCCCAAGACGCAAAAATCCATGTCTTGCCATATGAAGACGGATCTTGATCCGGATGTTATGCTTTGTTCCCCGCAACGGGGAGGCGGCACAGCCACATGCGGCATCATGATCGTAAGTGCGACTGTATGCAGAGATCTTGGGTCAAGCCTGAGGCACAGCCTTTCGTTTTGATTATACTTCCTCTCCACCCGCTTCCACTACATTCTAGCCTTCCCCCCTTGCTTTAGGTCGTCCTCTGGCGGGCGGGCCAGAGGCCATATCGCGGGGGTGCGGCATGGCGCATGCAGCTGTGGGCCCATGGATTGGGCCGGGTATCGACGCGCTCTACGCGGAGCGCGCCGTGTGGACCATTGGCGACGTCCTGGAGGTCGAACTCTGGCACGAGCAGTTCGGGGACTCTTGCGGGACGGGCGTGGTCGAGGTCATTGGCCATGGGCCTCGTACTCGCCTTTTTGAAGCCCGCGTTCTTGACGTCGAAGGTCAATCTTATCATTGGTGACCATTGGTGGATATTCCAGAGCCAGAAGGCGGAGAACCCAGGCCTGTTCAGGGCGACGGCGGGGAAAGGCGACGACGACGAGACGGTTTTCCGGGGCTGGGAGATCACGCCGGTTTGCAAGTGGCGCGTCTTGAACGGCAACGGGCTCGAGGCGGACCTCGCCGTCGTGGGCTGGCTCTCGGAGCAGCGGCGCAAGGACATCCTGGACGAGTTGCGCGGCCGCCATGCGGCCGCGGGGGCCCTGGGCACGCGGGCCGCGGAAGGCCCCGGGGACCAGGAGGCGCGTGGTCGGGACCAGGGTGGCGCTGCCCGACCAGTTCTCCTTGATGGGCCCCTCGCGCCGGTGGGCGGCGTCGAAGGCGACTTGCGGCGCCTCGAAGCCAGCGTGGGACGGGGTCGCGACCCTACGCCTGCACGCCTCGGCGAGGAGCGCCGGGACCATCAGGAGCGTCAGCGGCCCCAGGAGGGCGGCCGTCGCGCGAGGAGTCGCTCGCGGGCTCGCCGTTACGACGCGGGCCGCCGTTACGACGGCGCGGGCCGCCGCTACGACGACCAGGAGGAGGTCAGGGGCCGCTCGCGGAGCCGCCGGCCTGTGCAGCCACGGTCTCCCGAGGCTGCGCGCGTAGGAGCGCCGCGTGCACCTTTCGGGACGCGCGCTGCAGCTACGGCGGCGGCGCAGGGTCGCAAGGAGCACCGGCGCCGTCACCGCGATCGCCAGCGGCGGTCGGACACGCCTGGCAGGGACAGGCGGGCCAGGTCCAGGTCTCGCCGCCCCCGCAGTTTTTCGTCTTCGTCGTCTTTTCGCGACGCCTTCTCCTCCAAGGGTCGCGACTCCCAGGCGCGGCTCGTCGCCTGGGCGCGGAAGCACCCAGGCCTCCTGTCCTGCAGGTCCCTCCAGCTGATGGCGGACAAGGTGGGCAGGGAGGGGGAGGCGCACGCCTGGGAGAAGAACGACACCCCAGCGGCCGCCAGGTCTTACTACTTGCGCGTCCTGCAACCGCTGACGGGGGCAGGGCTGCGCAACAACAGGGAGATGGCCACCTTGTGCGCGGCCCTCGACCACCTAGCACGGGGCCGGACCGCGTTCGCGGCGGATGTCCTCACGACGAGGTTGAAGGCGGTGGAAATTGCCAGCCGGCACGGCAATTGGGACCGCGCGCAATTCTTGGAGCTCGTGGAGAAGGACGACACGACGCTAACGACCATGGGGGAGGAGCAGATGGCCACACAGGAGCTGGCGACGCAGCGGAAGCTCGAAAGCCGGGGCAAGGGGCACGGCTTCGACAACGAGTGGCGGAACTCAGGGAACGCCTCCGGCAGCTCCGGCAAGGGGGCCAAGGACAAGAACGGCCGCCAGCACAAGGGCATGGGGAAGGACGGGAAGGACAGGAAGGGGAGAGGCCAGTAGGCCAGCGAGCGTGCGCCACGCCAGCGTCCACCCGCAGCCCGGTGGCTGGCGACGCGGCGCGCGCTCCTGGGTGGACGCCCGCGTGTCGCACCAGTTTCGCGGCGGAGCTCGGTTCTGCCCAGAACCTTGCCGAGTGGCAGGCCGCTCTGCGACGCGCTGCTGGTCGGTGCAACGATTCCCATGAAGCTCTATCAGCGTTAGTGCTGGCAGTTTTGACTGGCCCATCGCGTTTGGGCAAATTTTGGCTGCGACTGCAAGCCTCTTCGGACCCTGCCGGGTCTGGAGCCGCACAGTCGTCGAGAGAGGCATCTCCATCACGTCGTGCTCCGTCACATCGTGCCGATGCATCTGCCCCTTCTTCGGAGCCCCGGAGGGCCGAACTGTTACCGATAAACATGGACCTCGCCGAAGCTTTCTGGAGGAACGGCCCCGCGGGGCACCTGGCCCCAGCTGAAGGCCGCGACAATTCGGGACTATTTCTGCTCGCCAGAGCCACGCTGCACGCCCTGAGTTTCCTCGCGTGCGCCGGTTGGGCGCCAGTGCCGGTGTGCCTGGACGCGCCCCGTGCCCTCGGCGAGGGTCACCGCCGCACCCTCTCCCACGTGTGGGAGGCAGCGGCGGACCTCTGGGCGGCACCTGCTCTGCCATTCCGCGTGAGCGAGTTGCGCGAGGAGTTGCGCAGCAAGAGGGTCGGGTACGCTGGCGAGGTCGTGTCGAGACGGCGCGAGCTGGTCTGCAGCAAGGTCGTGCCAGCGTGGCCGGACCCTGGCAAGGCGTGCATCCTACCGATCGTCGACTACGTATCGGAGGTTTCCGGGGCGACCTGCTATGTCCGAGCAGGTGCGTCCTACCCCGGTCTGAATGGCCTGCGGTCGCTCCGCGCTCTCGGGCCCACGCGACGGGCGACGAGCGGTTCAGCTTGGCGAGCGCGGGTTACGCTCGAGGGTTGTTCGCGCCCGTAGGCGCGGATGCCATTTTCCGCGACGCCCGCGGGGACTTGGTGTTGAATGGGGCGATGGGGTGGACAAGGTCAAGCACGTGAATGGCGTGAGGGTCGAGCTCTTGCGGTTCATTTGCGCATTCGTGCCCATCAATGCCTTCCTCCGGCGACTCCGCGGGGACAGCGGCCTCCTCCCTTATATCGGCCAGTTGGGGCTGGCCGTTTTGGAGGAGGACGAGGTCTTCTGGGTGGATTCCGAAGACATGGAATCATGTTTCGACGCGTTCTACATGCCAGACGAGTGGTTGGGCATGTTTGCCTTCTAGAAGCAGGTTCCGATGAGCGCCTTCGGCGGCGACCCGAATGTCATGACCTACGTGGGCATGCGGGCCGCGCCGATGGGCTGGGTCGGCGCCGTGGACGCGATGCAGTGCATGGCGCGGAAGTTAGTGTTCCAGACTGCTGCGGTTCCGCCGTTCTGCGAGCTGCGGAAAGATACGGCGGTGCCCACGCAAGACATTGCTATTGTGTGCATGGACGGCTACGACCACCTTTCGAAGGTCAAGCTCCTCGTGGACGACATTTCGGAGGCCCCCCCAGGCCGTTCTGGGCCCATGGAACGCTTCGTCGCGGTCTGCGCAGCGCAAGGGCCCCCCCTTAATGCGGGCAAATCGCTCGTTCGCGGGCTGAGGGCCGGCATCCTTGGCGGAGAGCTCGACGGGTTGCGCGGGCGTCTTATGCACGGAAGGGAGAAGTCGCTGAAGTTCTGCATGAAGTCGCTCACCCTCCTGGGGGGGCCCGCTTGGTCTGCAGGTGAGGCTCAACATTAGTCGGGCCTCTTCTGCTTCGCCGCGGGTTTCCGCAGGCCGCTCTTTTCGGTCTTGCAGGACATCTTCCCTTTCATCAACAGCTTTGGGCCGGCGGAGGCGCCGCTGGCCCCCCCTGACTGCGTCGTCGACGAGGTCCTTCTTGGAGGGGCCCTCGTCCCGCTGGCCTTCATGAACCTCCGCGCGAAGGTTTCGAAGGTCGCGAGCACGCCCGACGCCTCGGAGAGCGGCGGCGGCGCAGCTGAGGCCACCAGCTTCGTCTGCTCCCTGGCGCCGGGGCAAGCGGAGCGTCAGGAGGCGTGGGCTGCGGCGCTAGCAGAGGAGCCGGTCCTCGGCCAGGGGGCAGGCCTGGCCCATGCTCATCGTGTGGCGGACGCACGCCCGCGCGCGAGGAATGGGCGACGTGCCCACTCGGTTGCGCTGGGGCCTTCTGTTCATTACGGTGCATGTGCGCCCATCGCGGCGGAGTTTGTCTGGGTAGCGGGACCTCCCACGCCCACTTTGCGGAGGGCCTCTCGAGCCTCAGCGCTCCGCTCACTTGGGCTTGCGCGGCGCGCGGGGCCCCTGTCCTGGAGCCCTTGGTTTGGGCTCAGATGGAACGGTCACCCAGCTGCCGCGTGACAGAGCAGCAGACCGACCGGCTCAGGCGTGGTGACATTGGGTTCGAACATTGGTTCGTGCCTGCTTCCGCGGCGGCCCGGAAAAGGTCGCGCTGGGCTTGGTAACCGGGGCGCCAGCAGCAGCGAACGAGGCGTCGTAACGCCAATTTCGCGTTTGCCTTGGGCCGTCTGCAGCGTCGCCTCCTCCACGGCGGGGCGGCGGTGGTGATGCGCCCTCTAGGTGGGCTTGGGTGGCAGCTGCCATCCGCGATTGCCATGCAGCAGTCCGAGGACGTCTTTTTCACAAAGGTCTGGGTCTGCTGCTACGGGGGGCCGCGCTTCGTGGGCCTTGGGTTCCCCCATAATTGCAGCGCGCCGCACCTTGCCCTAGACATGGACCCCTGCCGCGGGCATCCGCGCATGGCCCGAGGCTTGCACAGGGTCGTGGCGCAGGGCACTCATGAGGAGGAGGGGGGGAGGTCTACCCCTGCGAGTTTTGCAAGGCGTACGCCCGCGTTCTTCTGGACTCGCTTCGCGAGGTCAGTTTGGCCACGCCCCCCCCGCAGCCGAGCGAGCGGGCGTCGTGGATCAGCCGCAGCCTCGCGGCTAGCACAGACAGGCTGCGAGAGGGCGGAACGCACTCCGAAGCCATTTTGGCATTGGAGCGGATGTTGGACAAGCTAGGGCGAGGCCAGGAACAGGACCATCTCCAGAGCTTGCTCGGGCAAGCCGACTATCGCGGTTCAGACGTGCGTCTACTGACGCAGACTCTCGTCGACGGGTCGCGGCAGCAGGTGCCATACCCAGCTCCGATATGGAAATGGGAGGTTGTGCAGCGCTATGCCTGGAGGCATGTCCAACACATCAACGTCCTCGAATTCATTGCATTCCTGACGCACATCCGGGCACGAGTGGCCGACCCGGACCGGCATGGAGAACGGTTTTTTTCATGTATTCGATTCACGCGTCGCATCTTGCGTTGCGGCAAAGGGTCGGTCGAGCGCGAGGGTGCTCAACCGGCCCCTTCGGCGGTTTGCGGCAGTCTCTTTGGCAGCGGATTTGTACGTACTGTGCTTGTGGACCATCAGTAGTTGGAATGCGTCGGACGCAGCCAGTAGGCTGCTGGAGGGCGCCCCAATTACCAGCGATGCCGGGTAGCAGACGTGCAGCTCCAGGTCCACGCAAAGCACACATTAAGTACGTCAACATCCAGCCGCCTACCATCCTTCGCTACCGCCGTGCCGTCAACCGTTTCTTTTGCCACCTCTCTTCTCGTGGAATTTGCATGCCAAGCAGTTTTGAGGAACTAGATGATGTTCTGGGGGAGTACATCGACCACCTATATCAGGATGACCTGCCGCAGTACTGGGGCAACGACGTGGTGTGTGGTTTCAAGCGCCTCTACCCACGGTCGAGGCGGAAGCTCGAGACCTCCACGCTGTACATGTCAAACTGGGCTCGGTCGTCCCATCGTCGCCGTGCGCTGCCTTTGTCCAAGGGCCTAGTCCAAGGGATGGCTGCAGTAGCGCTACTCCGGGGCTGGAACCGCACGGCGGCTGCCTTGCTGGTCGGCTTCGCATGCTTGCTTCGGTCTGGCGAAGTCGTGAACATCGTCAAGCGGCAGTTCACCGTGCTAGGCGGGGGCACTGCCGTGTTGCTATCGCTCCCAAACAGCAAAGGGGCGAAGCGACATGGGCAGGTAGAGCACGTGACGCTGTACGACCCTTTGATCATTCAGTTCCTTGTTCGAGTGTTGGCCCCTCTCGGCGACTTTGACACTCTTTTTCCGGGGGGGCTTCGCCGCCCTCAAGCATCACATCGTTGACCTTGCCAAGTTTTTCGGGCTACAGAGCCCCAACCTCACGCCCTATTGCCTTAGGCGCGGTGGTGCCACATGGCATTTTACGACATATGGTAACTATGATGCCACTCAGGCGCTGGGCCGATGGGGGCCCCTGAAACCAGCGCGCGGATACATCGATCAAGCGATGGTGGATGTCGGATCGCGGTCGCTGCCAGAACGTGGCCAAGAGCGGCTGCAGCGTGCAATCAGGTGTTTGCCCTCCCTTTTGGCCCTCCCTCCTTGAAGGGTCTGTGGGCGTGGCTGTGCCGCAGTGCCTCTTGCTCAGTGGAGCGCGCCTGCCGTACACGGGTCCTCTTAAGGACCCTTCGGCGGATGGCATCTGTCCTAAGGCGTGGTTTCGTAGGGTTTATCTGGAGATTTATGCGATGACATCAACCACCCGCTGCCTGTGGAGGTAGAGGGAGTTGGTAGTGTGCGTGGGAGGCTCTATTAAGGCCGTCCCAGGCTCACGCGGGTGGCCGGTGCCCACAGGGGCGCGGTGGAGGCTTGGGGCCTCTCCCCGCATTGGCCCAGATGCTGTGACCAGGGCCAGCGGCCTGGCGCGCGCGGGGCGCGGCGGCACGCACACACACACACACACACACACAAAGCCTCACGGGTGGAGGGGAAAACAGCATATGAAGACGGATCTTGATCCGGATGTTACGCTTTGTTCCCCGCAACGGGGAGGCGGCACAGCCACATGCGGCATCATGATCGTAAGTGCGACTGTATGCAGAGATCCTGGGTCCGCCTCCCACCCCTCCGCCTGGCCATAGTTTCTTGAGGCCGTGGTGACAACAGCGGTCGTTTCTTCCCAGGCCGCCTACGGCGCAGACAGCATTCATACTGCATTGGCGGTTTTTGCGGGTGGCCTGCGCTTCCTAAAGTGTGGTGCGGCAGGATTGCCTACTCTCTCGCAACAACGCGTTCGAAGGATGTGTCGCTATCCTTCTTGGCGAGTGGCCCGTGTTTCGTAAAGTACGGCGCGGCAGGAATGCCTGCTCTCTCGCAGCAGTGTGCGTGGGAGGCTCCTATTAAGGCCCTCCCAGGCTCACGCGGGTGGCCGGTGCCCACAGGGGCGCGGTGGAGGCTTGGGGCCTCTCCCCGCATTGGCCCAGATGCTGTGACCAGGGCCAGCGGCCTGGCGCGCGCGGGGCGCGGCGGCACACACAAAGCCTCACGGGTGGAGGGGAAAACAGCATAGTTGTTTTGATTGATGTTCGAGTTTTCAGCTTTTGGGCGCCCTGACGCTCCAAGACGCCCAAAAGGCTTCCAAGACCAATCCAAGATAGCCCAAGAGGCTTCCAACAGGGCCCAAGACAGCCCGAGAGGGCACCAATACGGCCCCAAGGGGGGCCCAAGAGGGGTAAGACGCACCGAAAATCCGAGCCTTACCCCGAGAGGATCTCAGGAAGCCCCAGAGGCCCCCAAGTGGGACCCAAGAGGCCCTCAAGAAGCTCCCCAGAAGCCCGAGGAGGTTCCAAGAAGCATTGTTTTCCCATCGGCCTTTGATGGATTTTAGAGTTCCCAGCCTTTGGGCATCCCGACGCTCCAAGACGGTCCAGGTGGCCCCCACGGCCGCTCCAAGATAGGCGAA